CCTGCCACGCGGCTTCCTGGGCGCTGACTGCCCACCTCCCGGGTGCCTGTGCAGCTAGGGACCGGCATAAAGGCTGGCGCTCCCTGCTGCGTGGCTTCCCGGGTACCTGTGCAGCTAGGGTCCAGCCCAAAGTCCAGCACTCCCCACTGCGCAGTTTCCTGGGCGCAGGCAGCCCGCCTCCCAAGTGCCTGTGCGACTAGGGTCCGGCCCAAAGGGCAGTGCTCCCCACCACGCAGCTTTGCAGGCCCCAACTGCCCGCCTCCTGTGCACCTGCACGGCTGGGGTCCAGCCCAAAGGTTGGTGCTCCCCACTGCACGCCTTCCCAGGTGCTTGTGCAGTTAGGGTCCAGCCCAAAGACCGCCACTCCCCGCCGTGAGGCTTCCCGGGTGCCAGCTGCCTGCCTCCTGTGCACCTGCACGGCTGGGGTCCAGCCCAAAGGCCAGCACTCCCCACCGCATGGCTTCCCGGGTGCCTGAGCAGCTAGGGTCCGGCCCAAAGGTCAGTGCTCCCCGCCGTGCGGCTTCCTGGGAGCCAACTGCCCACCTCCCGGGCACCTGCGTGGCTAGGGTCAGGCCCAAAGGCCGGCACTCCCTGCTGCATGGCTTCCCGGGGAATTAATTGCCTGCCTCCCAGGCACCTGCATGGCAAGGGGCCGGCACAAAGGCCGGCACGCCCCACTACGTGGCTTCCCGGGTGCCAACTGTCTGCCTCTTGGGCGCCTGCGTGGCTAGGGTCCAGCCTAACGAGACTTGGTCTTAAAATAAAAAAATTTTTTAAAGGCTGGGATGGAGTTCAGTGGTTACATCCCCAGTACTGCCAAAAATTATAACTGAAGATTAGACAACTTATCATGCTGTAAAATTTTCCTTTTAAAAGTAAACTATGAGAGGAATTACTCCTATAAATGTAACCAGTAAGCGTGAGGTATTCCCCTGGTGATTCCTGCTTCATAAAAAATATATATGTGGCTCAATTAGACTAAAAAAAGGTGCTGCATCCATGCTTGGGGGATGGTCTCTGACTTTTGCTGGACTTGAACACACTTGGCTTCAACAGTCTTGGAAGAGAGCTCTGAGATGACAGTAACCTGGGTTAGATGGCACCACTGGATTAGTGACACCACTGTATCCAGAGCTTGCCCTAACTCTGAGCTTCCTGTTATGTGAGTTTTACTCGATGAGAATTCTATTACTTGCTGTCAAAAGCACTGCAATTAAGGCAGACAGAACTACAACCCAAGTTTTTAATAGCTGAAGAAACACTAGAGTCACACACGAACCTTTTTTTTTTGTACTGGAAATCGAACTCAAGACCTTGCACTGGCCAGGCAGGCACTGGGCCACTGAGCTATATATATATATATATATATCCATAGCCCCACACATGAACTCTTCAGGAAAGCACCCTAAACGGCCATCACAGCTGTAAACACTTGCTGTTATACTTTTATGATTTATACCCACTTACCACATTATGAACTCTTTAAGAGCAGAGTCCACGTCTTACAAATCTGTGCACATAACTATGTGCTCTTAGCCCAGAGCTGGCATGCAGCGGGGCCTCAGTCCGTGCTGAACCACTCATCTCGAGAACAGGATGCAGGTCTGACTCTCACATGAACACTCCACATCTAAGGCTGTTCTTGTACATCCTCAGCCCTCACTGTGTACAGAATGAATAAATGAATATGTAACTGAACATATGGTATTGGACCAGCCACCAGGTACCATAAAGAACACTAGCCTTGAACTTGAAAGACCTAGATTCCTATCTCAGGTCATCAGCTATTTTGCCAGCACAATTCCCTTGGCCTTTCTGAGCGCTTATACTCGCCTGTAAACGGGGAGCTGCGGTTTCCCTACAGTCTCACATCAGACCTAGAGAAGGCAGAGTAATCCTGGGCTATGTGTTGCCCTGGGAAATGGTCGTTTTCAGTTAACTTTCAAGTCAGACATTTCAAGGTTAGACAAAAGGCACTATTAAGGAAAACGTGTGAAGGATTCTATATAGAGTTTAGGTACTGTGCCTAACAGGGACACAGCAAAGAGGTGTATTAGAAGTGCTTGTCACCTACTAGGAGGCCAAATTCTTCATTTTAAAAATTACAGTACTGTGGTAATGCCTTTTTTGAATAATGTACTGAGGACTGAACTCAAAGCCTTGTATATACCAGGCAAGTGCTCTGCCACTGAATTACACCCATAGCCTTTCTATTTATTTACTTACTTATTTTTGTGACAGGGTCTTATTAGGTTGCTTAGGCTGGCCTCTATCTTGCCATCCTCTAGCCTCAGTCTCCTGAGTAGCTGGGGTTACAGGTGTGTGCACCAGAACCCCAGCATCTCAGGCACCTTCAGATACTAAGGTGCAAATGGATACTCCCTTGCTAGAGACCAGTTCAGCAGTAGTACTCTCCCAAGCCTTGAAAACATGCATAGCCTCTGGTTTGTCCTTAGATGAGTGATTAGTAAAGGACAACTGTAAAAACTTTCCTATGGAATCTCCCATTGCAGTGGTATTACACAGTAGCCAAAAGGAAAAAGAAAGTAAAAAGTAGGTAAACACATAGCTGTATAGCTGTATAGAAAGAAGAACACCAAAGAGTGGCCCTATCCCAGACCGGTGGGATTTCAAGTGACTTCTTTAGTTTAAATACAGTGACTCCCTCCAATCAGAATACAAGCATTTGACACATATTCTGTCCAAGACTGAGCTGTAATGCCTGGGGGGACATCTGATACACAGCAGGTACCCTATAAGACATTTTGGTTAAGTTATGATAAGTCACAGTGTGAACTGATACAGACAAATGACACTGTAGAACGATACTCACTGATGGTAAAATATGTTAAGGGGGAAAAGAACAATGTTATAATCTCATTAAAAACATGTCACAGTATGTTTTAAAAATTAACAAATCCATAGGCTAATTCTGGAAAAGCATGTATCAAAATTAACACTGGGCAATGAAGTCGTGGAGTTTTCTTTTCCTTCTGTATTCCTGGGACATATTCCAGCAGAGTCCAGATAACAATTTGCTAAAGATCTGAATACTGAGTAGGAAGTTTACACCTGTCTTGGGTGTCTAAGATTCTGGTCTTCACCTAGAATTCTCTATAAACTATTCAGTACTTACTGAAAGCACTATATCTAAATGAATACTCAAGTAAAAATACGAATGCAGAATCAAAGAAATTGAGGATGCTAACAACACTGTGCTAGCTTTTGTGCTAAGTGTTTTACACACATCATTTTAATGACACTCACAATTTTTAAGTTAAATATTTTGTCTTTTTTTTCCAGTTAAGAAAAGGAGACTCAAAGATGTGACTTGTTTCATATCACACAGCCAGTGGCTGAAATAAAATGTCATACCTCACACCCAAGCACTTAACCAATTCATTAGGTAGGAATTCTAAGAAATAATTTAAGCTCATTTATTGTATAAAGAAGGCAATTTTCCCACCCCAAAACACATGACAGAACACATCCTCTAAGTTACATTCCTCACTATCTTTAGGCTATAAGATTATAAACTCAATGTGGTTAAGGGCACTACATAACTGCTTCAGAGGTACTTAAGCAGCTAAGAGGACCACAGGGTTGCTATACTAAGGGAGCTACACTCTACATTCTATTCCAAGTATCACTGCGGCACAGCATTGAGCTGTCTGATTAGTGGCTTTTAATGGAGTATAGCCTCCAGCCTGAGCCAGGTTCTTAACAATAACAAATACAGCCAGGCAGGTGGTGAATGCCTATAATCCCAGCACTCAGGAGGCTAAAGTAGGAGGACTGCCATGATCTCAAGGCTAGCCTGTGCTACATATTTGAGACCCTGTCTCAAAAGAAACAAATAAAATTAAAAATAATAACAACTACAGACAACTACCTGGTCCCTAGGCATTAAACTTCTGATCTCAGTCTATCTTATGATGTAACTAGGAAGGCTCAGGTGAATTATGCCGAACAGTTGGGCTCTTCTAAGCCAAATGACACTAATTTGGTCTAAAATCTAGTAAGCTTTTCTAAAATATGGAACTATTCTTTACTAGTTCCATATTTTGGAACTGGGGCTGGGGATAAATAAAGGGCTGGGGGATACAGCTAAGAGGTAGACTGCTGCCTAGTATGAATTCGATCCCAGTACTGCAGAAAAAGAAACCTAAAAGTAAAAATCAAAATGCAGGTCATGCATGATAATGGCCATCACACTCATTCTGAATTGGAAAAGGGTATTTATTCTTACTTGTATCTAGCTAATTTTGGAGACTTCATTCCTTGAGAAAAGTATCTGCTTTTTTCTCTTAACAACATATTCACAGTTCTCAGGATGACACAGTAGCAAAAACAAAAGAAATCCAAGTCACAAGATTTGCTACTATATCCTTTATAGAAAAGAAAGAAAGAAAAAAAAAGAAAGAAAGACAGAGGGAGAGAGTGGGAGAGGAAAGCTACATGAGTGGGTGAAGAACACAATATGAAACACACTTAAAGATCTTTGACTGGGACATTTTCCTCTTTTTTTTAATATAAATACTTTATCCATTTATCAAAGCTCATCAAAGAACTTCCAAAATGATTTAATCTTCTTCATTCTTCAGGGATTATTCATTCACAGAGCAGGCCACCTACAGAAAAGATTTGTTTTAGAAAGTCAGATTGCAAACATCAAGCCAGACCTATGCAGTCAGGGACTTAAGACTACCAGATGTGAATACCTCAGTGCAGTACCGTTAATTACCTACCATAATTATTCTAAATCAGCCATGAAATAAAGATTCACATTTTAAAGTTCTAGTTAAGCCTAACTAAAAATATCACTAAAAGTGCCCATTACATTGTTTAACCTTAAGAAGCTTTTGTTGAGGTAAAAATTACTTTTTCCCTCTCTCAAAAATATCTTCCAAAAAGGGCTAAGGCATTTTATTTTTACAGATACGCAATGGAAGAGACTTGCAAACCCCTCTCTGCTGATTCAACAATGTCTGGCAAAGGTCCACAGAGTGGAAAGCCGAGGTCAGCTCAGCGCACGAGACACTTCCTGTGGAAAGTTACTCACTTCATCAAAGGGCGAAATATGGGCAATGCTTTAAAACTCAGTTTGGAAAGATCAAAAGGGGACAGTAGCAAATGACAGGACTGCTGATCTGGTCTGGCAGTACCGGGCTTCTCTCCATGCCACTCTCACTGCCCTCAATCCAGTCCCTATCCCAGAATACAGAGGACAATGCTAAAAAGAGACTCGAATCAGGCTAGCCAACTCCTCATGTCTAAAGCAGGTCCTTCCCTTATGGGACCCACTCGCTTGGGTTACACGTTCACAACAAGGCAGTAAGTGGCATGTCTTGCTGCCGGGTGGCTGTGAACCACCACTGGGAACGTGTAAGTAGGATAAAGTCTCGTCAAGACACAAACTCTGTTTTCTAAACGGATCAAAGGAAGAATATACCTGAGGAAAGGTCAGAAAAAGAATAAAAAACACACTTTCCCAGTCCAATGATAGCAGCCCCCAGCACATCAGGAGGGGCTGCCGTGTGAAGGGGTCTGCGGGTATACTTCCTGGTTCTGTCCCTGCAAAGTCCTTGACAGCAGGGCCCCATCGTTCTCATTCTGGCATTTTCTAGGGTCTCCATAAATATCCATTAAAAAACAAAGTCTAAAGGGTAGAAATGACCTTTCTGGATTATTTCCGCAGTATATTTTCATAATCAGGTGCTTATTGGTGTGTGTTCCCAATTTTTAGGTTAAATGTAATAAACAGTATCACTACTACTCAGTGCTACTTGTTGAATTGATTTCAGCCTCCAAACTGGATCCACCTGGTTTCTTCTGACTCCTTAAGGCAGAAAGGTATTAGCCACCCATTTCTTGACACTTCTGAACTGGTTCTGGGTGGGTCTTTTTCAGTGAAAAAAAAAAAAAAAAAAAAAAGGTCGTAAGATAGAAAAAATTGTCCAGAATTGCCACCATTGTACCTATCTTTCCTTAGTAGTTTCAAGTCTCTACTTTTGCTATATTAAATTATGAGATAATTCTATTTGGCATATTCCCTATTCTTTAGTTTAAGCCAGTGGTTGTTAAAAAGGGGTAGATTTAAAAATCATCAAGGAACTTCTAGAGCAGGGCCGTGCTCAGGCCTGTGAATTCGGGAAGTATTCTGCGGAGGACTCTGAGGTGCACCTCTGGGTAAGAACCACTGGATAAATGGAGCCTACATTATGTGAAGCACAAAAGCGGTCTAACGGATTTACTCTCAATTTAGTGAGTTCAAGGTACAGTCAGAGATGTTACTTAGAAATAACATTTAAATCTACATAGGTTTTTTGTTTGTTTGTTTGTTTTTTGAGACAGGATTTCACTACGCAGTTCAGGCTGGCCTTGAACTCACTCACGGGCCTCGAACTTACAGTGATTTTCCTGCCTCAGCCTCCAGAGTGTTGGGGTTACAGACATGCCTAGCTAATAGGTTTTTAAACTAAAGAACTTTTGTGATCACTGCTGGAAAAGCAGAAGTTTCCAAAATGTTTCCTTTTCAAGGTAGTCTCAGAAAGATCTAACACACTAAGAGGTATTCATTTAGTTAAGTGTTACCTCAGAGCAGCGCAGATCGTTGGGCCAATTTTACCCTACAGCCAGGGGTCTGGTTATTGAGTTGGGTGCAGTGATGCATTTCAGAAAGAGGTCTTTCTAATTAGCATAAATTTTAAGATTAAAGATTAAGATAATGTGCTAATTCTAAAAATAGGTATGTTACCTATATAATCATAGTAAGGTCAAGGAGTAAAATGTAAAGTGAATGTAAGAGACCTCAACTCTAGTTTTAATTCCACCACTATCCACCTTTTGCTTGAGCAAGTCTTTTTTTTTTTTTTTTTTCACTTGACTTTGTTCTATCTCCCCATGAAAGTGGGGAAAATAAATCTGGAACAATAGGAAGGCAAACATGTGCTCCTCTTCAAAAGTATTACTATGCTGAACACAAAAACATGACAGTTTGAATTCTTAGAAAGGTCCCACACAGACTCAGATTGTTCTTCCAACAATTGGGATTCAAAACTATATAATCAGATCATATCTTCAACAGACCTCAACTGAGTATAAGCTACCCACAACTTCCCAGGTAGAAGCCATTCTGTTTTGGTCTCCATTTTATAATTCACAAAGCATGAACATACATATATTATTTAATTATCGCAAGAGTAGAAAGAAGTAGTTTGGGTATGTGTTATTATCACTACTGACAGAGGGGAAAACTAAGATTCTAAAAGCTAGGAACAGCTAGGTGTGGCGCACCTACCTGTAATCCCAGCACTCTGGGAGGCTGAGACTGGAAGATCATAAGTTCAAGCCCAAAATGGGCAACTTAAGAGACTTAGTGAGATCCTATCTCAAAATAAAAAATTAAAAAAGGGTTATGGATGTAGCTCCTTATGAAGACCCTGGATTTAATCTCCAGTACCATGAAATAACAAAAGGATCTGCCCAAGGCTACACAATCTATCAGATTTTCTAAGTCCAAAGCTTTGACATTTTCTTTCATACACAAGTGAAATACAAAGCTATCGCTCTTACTCTCTGCTCAGAAAACAAAGGAAAAATAGTACCTTATGGTTGTTTTCAATGTATGTTACTGTAAACAACTGTACCGCTTTTACGCTTCACATGAAATCCAAGAGAAGTTCTTGAGTTCCCAAAACCAGCATTTCTAGAACCTGTCCTTTTAAAAATCAAGTCAGGTTCAGCCCTAGTAAACAGTTTACACAACCAACTAGGAAAAGTTAAAATATGAACAAGGAAGCCAAATACAAATGTTGAGGTTCCCTGTCTTTAAAAATAGTTAACAGGTGTACTGAGTGGGTGCCACTGGGGATGGGGACCAAGGGCACTCTTCCAGGGAGCTACATCTCCAGCCATTTTAGTTTTCAGACAAGATCTTACTAAATTGTCCAGGCTGGCCTTGAATTAGCAATCTTCCTACATCAGCCTCTTGAGTAGCAGGGATTACAGGAGTGTGCCACTGCACCCAGCCAGGAAAACCTTTTAAGAATGCACTTCCTCTTAAATTTACTTAATAAAATGATTCACCATGGGTTGCTCTTCAAATAATCATCTACTATAAAATCTACTTAAGTATATCATGTATATACACAGTAATGGATTTACTATACTATGTACAAAACCATAAAATATATAAAAAAGTGAAATCCAGACAGAATTAGTATTTTGATGAAAACTAACATAAGTGAAGTGGGAAACATGAAACTAGACATCAAGAGTCAAAATGAAGGCTCAGAACACCTACACTGTTTTCCACTACCCAGTTACAATACTCCTTATCAACCTAGGGCAAATTCCTTATCCCTCCCTTCTTACATCAAAGAGGAAGACCAGCCTATGTGAAATTCCAAAGAGGCGGCGAAGAGGTGAAAGGGAAAGAAGCCAGGTTCTCTATTACCATGAAAGTGATATATAGTTCTGGCATTATCTCTCAGTTATCAGTAAGTTAAAAGTAGCAGTGTGGTATGGGTGTAGCAGAAGGCACAAAGCAGAGTCTGCCTGGAGACCGGAAGTTCCTGTTCTGCTCCTACCTAACCCACCCTGGGAATCCTTTTCTAGTCATAAGTCTTAATTTCCTCATTTATTCACTCTTTCCTTTAATGAACAATCCTCTGTTGAGCATCTACTATATACCAGGCAGTGTTGCAGGTGCTGTGGATATGAGAATGAGTGAAACAGAAAAGTCCTATTTTCTCAGAGCTTACATTATATCTAGTTGGAGCGAAGCAATGAGGATGATTTTTTAAAAAATACTTAATATGCAGATGATACTATTAGAATAGTCATTAGTCATATGTGGCTATTAAAATTATAAAATACTGGGCTGGGGATTTACCTCAGCAGCACAGCGCCTGCCTGGCAAGCGTGAGGTCGTCAATTTGATTCCTGGTACTGGGAAAAAAAAAATTTATAAAAATACTAAAACTTCAGTTCCTCAGTCTCATTAGCCATAATTCTAAGGCTCAACGGCCACATCTGGCTAGTGGCTACCATACTACAAAGGGCAGATACAGAAGATTTCCATCATCACAGAAAGCTCTATTAGCCAGGGCTGGGGCAAGTGATAGGAAAGGATGTTTTTTACATTGGGTGCTCAGGAGAAAAAGCCTTTCTAAAAAAAAGACTTTCGAATAAAGACCTGAGTGAAGCTGGGTAAGCAAAGTTGGTATCTAAAGGAAAAGCTTCCCAACAAATGAAATAATATACTTGGATAGACATCCTGGAAGTCTCTTTCAGCATTAAAATTGAATTTCACACCTCTTCAAAAAATGGTCTGAGGTTTTAGTTTTATAAACATAAAGCATGGTAGAAAAGAAACAGTAACAATTCCATTTTTCTTTGCACAAAACAATACTTCCATTTACTGAAAACTCACATTAGAAACAAGAAACGCAGAACATTTTCTGTGTACTTCCTTTAACCTGGAAAATAGAGTATTTTGAACTTCCTGCAGTCATGAGTCAATCTGATTCTAACAGAGCTCAAAGGTTTCTGTGGAATGCTTTCTCGAAAGTTCCATATTCCCATTTTCATCTGTGCTGAATGTCTCTCAGTGTGTTAGCATCACTTACTCCTCACACTGGCAACTGAAGCTATTTTTTAAGTAACACACACATTAGATTAATCAGGTGAACTGTCTTTCAATGGCTGCTAAATATGTGAAGTAATGTACACGTCTGAAGCAATATGCTCACCAGTTCATATCTTAAATCCCAGGGCTCGCATGCACTCCTTGTGGGCCTCAATTAGATGTCCACAATGCTCTTCTCCTTTCTCAATGATGCTATGAAACAAAATACACTTGTTATCTAATGAAGGAGGTATGACGCACATTAATAAGCACACATGTCAGTGATGGAGAGGGAGGAAATACAGCTGGGGCTAAAAACTGCTATTACACCAAACAGCTTTGTTTTGATTTAATCTTGTGATCGTTTCATGCCTGTAAAGATGTCGCACACAACTAGATTTTGGGGGAAATCTGATTATAAGTACACACATGAAATCTTGCTATTAGTTTATATGCAAGAAACAACACAGCTCTATAATGAAATAAACTGCATAAAATATTTGTGTTAAATGAAGAATAGAGAGAAGAGCTTTTTTTTTTTTTTGCCCATTTTAATGGAAGAATTAACTTTCTGTTTCTGCCCTATGTTCAAACACACCTAAATAAATCTACTTCTACAACATAAACATCACAAAAGATCCGGTAGCCAGGAACAGCAATATGAATTCCCCTTTTCATAATTAAAGGATTTTCCACTCCTAAAATTCAGAGTAAAGACCAGGACCACACAGCTTTACTTTAAGGCTTGTAAATGCAACAGATAATCAAGTTAGGACAAATTCAACTGCAAGAAAAAACCAATTTCTGACTGCAGATATTTAATAAACCATAGCGGTCTAAGGTGATCCATGCGAAAATAATTTAAAGAAGGAACAGATTCTCCTTCCACCAAAATCCTTATCATCCTTCAATACACCTCAAGGTCTGCTGCAAATGGGAGAGACTGCCCCAGTTCCTTATGAAGATAACTGCTAGCACCCACTAAATATTTATGAATGCTATATATACTGTGCTAGGGATCTGATACGCTGTACCACTAAACCTAATTAACAACCCCGGAGGCAAATACATTTATGGGGCTCATTTTACAGACATATGAGACAGACATGTTAAATACTTTGCCCAAGGTCACCAAGATGGTAGACAGCATTCAAACCCTGACTCTACCTCCAGCTCTTATTCATGATACCATACTATCTAAAAGTTCAATGAGCATTTGTTAACATTGGTGCAACTTCAGTATCAGACTGCAGTCTTTCAAGCCTCCATTCACAGTATTATTTGCAAAGCACTAAGTATTAATGACAGCACTGAGTTCCCACACTCCTGCCTCATGTTACAACTTCTCTACTTTTTCTATTATTCTCCACTTTGTACGCACAGAATGAGGTGGGAAGAGGTGCACATTCGTGTCATCGGAAAACTTTTTTTTTGTTTTGTGTTGCGACGGGGTCTCGCTATGGAGTTCAGGCTGACCTTGAGCCCACTTTGTAGCCCAGGCTGGTCTCCACCTCGCAATGATCCTCCTGCCTCAGCCTTCCGAGCACTGGGATTACAGAGGTGCGCCACCACGCCCGGCTTATCTAAGAACTTCCCATGAGCTCTGTTTTATACTAAAGGCTATGTAAGAGAGAACAAACAAAACTTTTTGTGAATTAGTAGTAGTGCTCTAGGTATTTTGTTGTTGTTGTTGTTTTCCAGTACCGGGAATCGAACTCACGACCTCGTGCTTGCCAGGCAGGCGCTGTGCCGCTGAGCTAAATCCCCAGCCCCAGTAGTAATCTAGATATAAACGTTGTCACTACACTGTGGACTCATTTTTAATTTTTAGTTGCCTTAAAAAGTTGCAGGGGAAGCCCCTCAGAACTGTAAGACATGTACTGTGTCTCTCTCTACATTTTGGAAGAAATCCTTAACTTATGCTTTATCACGCAGTGCTTCACATGCACGAGCCTTAAAAATCACTTGTAGAAAGAAACGAGATGACATGAGCCTCGGGCCAGCCTGACCTTCCTCCCCCTTTAGTCCTTTCCCTGGACCGAGCTGAGCACCCAGTGCCGACTGTAAAACCCGCGGGGACCCTCCTCTAACTCTCCAGGGCGCCGCAGGGGACGGGAGGTCAGAGGGCACAAGGCGCCCGCTCCCCGGCTGCGCACTGACCACGCATCGCGCGCCTTCTTGGTCTCCGGGCAGGCGCAGCAGGGCTTCAGAGGCTTCTTCTCCTGAGATTCAGACGGGGCAGGGCTCGCGGCTGCCAGGCCTGGCATCTTTCAAGCCTAAAGCAGCTACCAGTACACAAGTACTAAACTCTCCGAACCAGCCCCACGCCGGTTCGTCCTCAGCCACTTCCGCAAAGGCCCCAAGAGCACAGGAAGTCCCGCCTCTCAGACCGGAAGGGGGGGGTAGAGGTTAAAATAAGCGCGTGCGCAGAAAAGGGTAGCTAGGACCCGGCGAGGGCGCCGCTTCTGCGCATGTGCAGAGAGGGAGTCAAAAAGGTCAGAGTTTTGTGAGTCTGTTTGGGGAGGGCCAGTAAGGCTAATAACTTCAAGTCTGCTGGGTTCCTTCTTCAAAACGTCTTACCTCTGCACATGTCGAAACTGACTCCCAAAAAGGTGAACTTGTCCAAGCTAAATAAGTAAAATCACTAGTGAAAGTCAGTTCTCTTGAGAAATAGACGTGCTCTGTAAACTGCACTTTGGAGCATTACTGACCTTCCCACCCCACCCGCCTTCCTACCTCTGCAAGCCTTTCCTGTTTTTCACTGATCAGGTTGAAATGAATAGCAAAGACATTTGAACAAAGCAGTCCACAAGTGCCGGGGGAGTGAAAAGGTCCTCTAACCCCCAATCCCTCCCCCACACCATCGTACGCGACTACATTCTCAGCTAATTTGCATTTATAGCTGTTCAGCTGATTTCAGTATGAATCGGCTAATCAAATATTTGTCACCTATGTTAATAAAATTGAAACTTACCTTTTCCTTGGCATTTCTTCAACTCCGGTAGACAAGTAAACTGGTGTCCGTGTCATTTGCAATAAAACAAATACTATCGTTTAATTTTTTGTGCAGAGAATTGTTGGAAAAGGAGTTTATTCAAGCAGAACTTAGAAGCTTTAAGTCCTGCATGGTGATAGATGGCTCCCTACCTCCCTTCTATCTTTCTTTTCTCCTTTGCTTTTACTGGGGATGGACCCAGAGCCATAGTACTCAGATATGTTACTTCTTAAGTTTTTAGGACAGGGTTTCAGCAAATCGTTTTCTCAACTGGGTTCCATCCTCCTGTCAGCCTCTCGGAGTGTTGAGACTGCGGAGCCCACCCAAGAACAATTTCTGTATGTGTATTTTCCAAATTATTAAGATCATCCTTTTTGTCACCTGAAAACTTTCAATAAACATGCATTTTATTTCATACTGGGTTTATGCATTCACTAATACAACACGGTACCCTTACATTGTCCTAACTGCCTTAATCCACTATTACCAATTCTTTGAAGTACGAGTTCAGTTGCATGCCTTAGACTCCTGCTACTCAAACGGTACTTTTTGGGCTTGCAACATCAGCTTTACTTGGAAACTTAATATACAGTAAATATGGTTCAGCAAATCAATGGGGAAAAGAAAACAGGCTAACATCTGGAGAAAATTAAATACGACATCAAACAAAAGAGCTCCAGATGCAGTAAAGGCCTGTGAGTGAAAGGTCAAACTAAAAAGCTGACAGCACGTAGTAGAAGAGGATTATCTTAATACTGAGGAATGGGGAATGGTTTATTTTATAACTTTTCAAAACCAGAAGTTCTATGTGACAATATTCATGAAATAACAGCAAAATAAAGTCATGGAGTTTTCCATTAGGCACTATAGACAGAGTTAAATAGATCACAAATTGGGAGAAAATATTTGAAATATCTAAATATTTTTAAAATTAAAAAAATTAAAGTGCCCCATTTCTCTGAGCACTTGCACTCCACTCTTGAATACATCCTATCTCTACCTCTAATAAATCCTTCTCATGTCTCTTTTTTAAAAATTTAATTAAAGTGCTCACTTACATAGTTAAAACATCATAATCTTCAGCCGTATATGGCTACTGAGTTTGTGAACCATCATGTAATCTTCAGAGAAGCTCAAATTTATTATCTCCATTTATGGGCGAGAATGAATTAGGCTCAGAGATGTACATGATTTGCTTGAGGTCACATAACGTGGAAGTAGCAGTCCCACGGCTTCACATATCGCTCTGTTCTATTTACCATTCTACTTAATTTGCCTAAATGAAAGGTGAATATTTCTTATTTTAAAATTAATTGTGGTCTGTGTTTATTTGTGCTACTGTTTTTTTAGGTATAAAAAATGAATGAGAAGAAAAAGGAGAGGACTATCTAAGAGAATCTGAGGACTTTAAAGAATTGACATAAGCTGTTAATGCAAATGATATACCAACTGACTGAACCAGCTTTTGGCAATTGAGAAAAGATTTTTTTTTTCCCTATTCTCTTTCTCTGAGTCAGTGGAGAGAGCGCTGGCTATGACAGTTCTCTTTGTGACCTCCTCAGTTAGTATTGGCAGATCTCAGGCAAAGAAGTTAGGTAGTAACTCAATCTCTTGTTCCATTTTTCTTTAGCCTGGTGTTTTCAAGACACCAACAGATTCTTAATTTCTTTTCTGAGCACTGTGACTGTTACACTCTTTCTTCTTCCAGATAGAATCCTCTCCTGTGCTTAAGGAAAAAAAGACCAAAAGATGCTCCTTTCCAACGTGAAATATTTAGTAATTTATATCCAGCTCTAAACTTGCCTTTTGTTTTAGAATGGTGCAGTTAACCTTCACACATAGGTTACTTTTTCTTCTTTAAATTTACAAATAAATAAGCTTTTAAGTCTACTTTTATTTTTATATTGATACTATGTTTTACTTTTCTCACACAGCCTACCTGCCTGAAGACTTGTGAGATGGCCTATTTTGGGATTAAAAGGAAAATAGGAGTATAAGACATGAAATTTATTGTTTCCTATTCCACCCCCCACTATTTGAAGCTTCTTACCTAATAATTTAGCAATTGTACCAATAAGAGTGTCAGAGATTTAAAAGAGTGTTATGATTAATATCAGAATTGAGAAGTGAGGATTGATATAAACGGTACTAATCAAACTAATTTCAGAGTTGCCTTTGTACAACAAATGGAATCTTATCTTTATTATTTAGTCTCCATATATCACCTACTCTCAATTTAGTCTCTAATTGCAGCTCTCACGAATTGTTATGTTTTTCTTGGTGGAAGAAGCTTATTGAGATTTTTCTTGGGTTCCCTGTGTAAGTTTTGAAAGGATACTTTTCATAGTACGGTGATTATATTTAGGTGTGGTACTCAATGGGGCTACCAGCCACAGACGGCACTAAACAGCCACTATGGACGGACTGACAGCCCTGATAGTGTAATAAGCAACAAGAAAAAGCCTCCCACAATCCTTCCATGATAAAGGTAATTAGCCATTTTCCCTGCCTAACCAGACCAAGGTGTGGTGACTTTGAAGTGCACGTCTTTGAGGCTGGTGGAGAAGGAGTGACACCATATGTTGAGAGAGAAGAATTACAAGGTTTAAATTCTCATTTGCCCAGTTAATAGGTGGGCTTTGCATACAGCCTCACAAAGCTAAGTATTTACATGTCTGCTTCGGAGTAAAAAATATTCCAATTTCTATTAATAAATATGTGCTATACAGCAGTCTCTGTAACTTTTCAAATACCTGGGAAGGCTGAGATTTTACTCTGCCTGTCAGTTTTCTCTCTCTCTCTTTTTTTTTTTTTTTTGTCTTTTTTGAGACAGGGTCTCTCTATGCAGTTCAGGCTGGCCTTGAGCTCACTTTGTAGCCCAGGCTGGTCTCGAACTCGCAATGATCCTCCTGCCTCAGCCTCCCGAGAGCTGGGATTACAGGCATGAGCTACCACGCCCGGCTCTGCCTGTCAGTTTAAAGAATGCTGGTCAAAGCCACCAAACTTCTGGGTCATAGAAAAGAACAGTTTATTTTACTAACAGCAATAGCAGCAGAGAGATTATCAGTACTTCTGCCAGTTCCCACAGCCCCGTTTCCCATAGGGTGATGTACGTACGTCCAGGTAATATCTGCATGCACATTGGGTTGCATTATAAAAGAAGAATAGTGAATTTAGGAAATCCTAAGTCTTAATAATAGGCAGTTAGGATGTCTGGTCTTTGCTCAAACAAAAATCTTCCAAGATTGTTTCCTACACAAATAAAAGGACAAGGACAGACAGGGCCCCCTGCTTTGCATGACATGCAAGAACATGAACATTCATGCAGCATTATCTCCCAATATGGCCAACTTTAACTTTCATTTTATTAACTAGCATTTCTCTTTAATAGCAGAGTTTGTTTTATACAATCAGACAACATGGCTCCGAATCTAATTTCATAAAGATAGTGTGTTAGTCATTTGCTGTTTTTACTGAGGACTTAATGTTGTATCCTCTCAAAACTTATACAATGAACCCTAATCCCCAGTGCGATGATATTTAGACATGGGGCCTTTAAGAGGTAATTAGTTTAAAATGTGGTCATAAGAATGGAGTACGGGGTTAGCATCCTTTTAAGATGAGGAAGAAACCGGAAGCTCCCCCTGCTCCCCATGTCCCTACTCTACCACATGAGGACATGGCAAAACAAGGAGAGACAGGGGCCTTGGTAGGAATACAATTGACGGGCATCTTGATCTGAGGCTTCCTCACCTCCAGACCTGTAACAAATATCTGTTGCTTAAGTCACTCGATCCATGGCCTTTTGTTACAACAACCCAACCAGACTAAGACTGCCACGTCACAAGTCAGTTAATCATAGCAGTGTGGGAGGCTGAGGCAAAAGGGTCTCAAATTCAAAATAAGTAAATAAAAAGGACTAGGGACATAGCTGAGGCAGATCATGGCTTTTTTTCCTAGCACACACACAAAAAAATGTCTTTCTTAAAAAAAAAAAACAAAAACCAAGTCAATTCTAAGGAGCACTAGTAATGGAATAATCTGAACATCAAAGAGTAATTACCACAATGTTTTAAACACCACACATGTAAAAATGCATGCATTCGTAATGATACTACAGAACAAAAATTTTGTGGTTAACAACACTAAGATACTGACTCAGTTCAATGAATTTGATACTTAAGAGGAAGAATCCAGCCTTTAACTAATCTTTCCTCTGTGATCTATATTTCCACGTAACCAATGAGTCGGTTTCTATAAAATTCTTTTTATAGAAAATCTCCAAACATGATTGAAATCACTGTTATTATTGAAATTCGCTGTTCTAGAATAAAAGACTTAACAGAAATACTGAATTACAACGTCAGGACTTTTTTTTTTTTTTATCTTAATGGGACAAAGTAAGTATATAAATAACACCTTGTATTCAACCAGGGGCATTTGAGCATGTACAACTAATATACAAAGGAATTAGTGGGAATTTTGTTACATATGATGATGATTAAATTTCAAAAGCTGTCAATATGAGATGCAGATTGATTTAAGAGCAAAGTAATGTCTAATTTTTTTTTTAACTAAGAGAAGGAGGGAAAATAAAACGACTAGCAAAATGGTGATGCAAGTTGATTCTGAGTAATGGGTACTTAAGGATTCATTAAAAGTGGAGTTACTTTTACCTATCTTTAGAATTTTTCATCAGAGTTTTCTTTTTTTTCTTTTTTTTTTTGTCTTTTTTGAGACAAGGTCTTGCTACGCAGTTCAGGCTGGCCTTGAACTCACTTTGTAGCCCAGGCTGGTCTCGAACTCGCAATGATCCTCCTGCCTCAGCCTCGCGAGTGCTGGGATTACAGGTGTGCGCCACCACGCCCCGCCTCATCACAGTTTTTAAAAGCAGGGTCAGTGCCTACACCACAGCATCGTCAGGCGATCTACTGCTCACGTCTCAGGAGAGGGCAGCAACCTGCAGATGCGCGTGGGGCTGGTGGGGCCCCAACTTTTAGGGGCTTGGGTTCCTCAACTCGCAGGATGAACCCCGTGGAAAGGTGCTTTCCGAAATGAAAGCACCCAACTAGTCTAGATGGTTCTGAGATTTCCAGGGATTTCCGAAAGAGGCCCAAGGATTTCCGAAGAGGTGCGCCTGGTAAATTGCTGCTAGATTTCTAAAGCGGGGCCCTTCCTCAGCTTTTGGCGTCGACCCTGGGTCGGTGGCTGTACCCTCGCGGACAAATCTTCCAAAAGTGTGGGATGCGAGGCTGCACCTCCCCAGCGCCCCCTTCCCACTCCTGTCCCCCTCTCCTGCTCACGCTGCTCCTCCTTCCGCTCCCTCCCGGCTCCTGCCTCCGCCTCCCCTCCCCTCCCCTCCCTTCCCTTCCCCTCCTCCCCCCCCGCCCCACCCTAACCCTTCCGCCCCTTGCCTCCCTCCCGCCCTTCCCCTCTCTCCCTCCCGCCCCGCTCCTCCCACCTCGACCCCGCCTCTCCAGGGCATCGCCACGCCCCTTATCCCCGCGTGCCCGGAGGTTACCATGGCTACAGTGCGAGCGGCTACCCGGCTTCCCTAGCTGGTCACCCGCTGGCCGAGGAAAGAGGCAGCATCATGAGCCACGTCGTGACCATGGAGGAGACCCAGACCCACCGCCAAGAGTCACAGCAGCAGGGCGGGGAGAGGTCGAGGGCCGGGGTCTCTTTGTCCAGTCGAGCATACGATTTCCTGTACGGTAAGGGCAGCCCCAGACCTCCCTGCTGGGCTGTGGACTCCCGGGCCAAGTTGACCTGCAGATGGTGGGACCTGGTCAGGGAGGTGGCCAGCGAAAGAACGAAAGACGGCCCCTGGACTGAGCCCCAGCCGCGGTGGTCCTTGGTGGGTGCGGGCAGCCGGAGCTGTCCAGGTGGCCGCGCGCTCAGGCCGCGGGGGAGCCGGGCGCGCTGTGCGCCTCGGAGCACCGCACCAGGCCGCCTCAGTTGTCCCCTCACTCTCGTGACAGTTTGCTCAGCCCCGAGCCAACTTCCTGAAGCCCAGTCTAGGTGTTTTGATGTCCAGAGAAGCATGAAATGAGTTGCAGATTTGGAGATTCACGCAACGTTTCCATGATCAAATTGCATAAAATACATAAAATTCCCGCTCACATTCTCTGGGCAACAACAAATTTAGCATTCTAGGTAACAAAGTGCCAGTTGATCTCAGGTTTCTTTTTAGTGAGTTTTTCTTTTTTAAAAAACTTTTTCCTATTCATCAAAACTTCGTTCATAAACTAGGTGCTCTGATTCCTCAGGGCTAATAAAGTTCAAACTTTTTAAATGCCCTGATTTTCCATTTGTATTGTCTGTCTTCTGGACTTTAAATTTCTGTTCTATACATTTCTGTGGACTTCTCAGGCCTATTCTACTGCTAGTGCCTATACTAGATACTTGGTAATGGTTAACTGAATTACTCAGTTTACTATTATAATAATCGCAACCATTGAAAAAGAGTTTTTCCAAATTTGCTCTCTGTAATCCTTGGCTCTTACCTGAGCCTTGCATTATTTTCAACTCTGAAGAGCACGTAATAGTTGCTTATGTATCCCGGCTACTGCTTTTCATTATTCACTCTTGGTGTCATCTTATGAAACAGGTCTGGTAGACTCCTGTAAACTATCTCCATGTTGTTTTAATGTAATTAGGGGATGAACATAAACATCTTTAGTAAGACAAGCAAATAGCTTATTATGCCTGTTGTTTCTTTTATCCCAAGTGTCTCTTTTGCGGAGGGATTGCTGCATATTTTCATGTCCCTTGGAAAGAACGGAAATCTGCTCAGAATAGGTCAGATGAAAGTTTGCTTCCTTTCAGCCTCACAGCTATTTATGGACAAGCAACAAAGACTGGACAGGGAAGGTCAGAAGTAAGGTGCTGCTCTCTCCCGGAAGGTGCTGCTCTCTCCCGCTTTTGTTCTATGACCATATGGCCTTTTGCCTTGTTTGGGCTGCTAGATTTTAATAAACAAAAATAAAGGATACAGTTAAATTTGAATTGTAGATAAAGGACAGACACAAATTTTAATAAAACTTTTTATCCTATGGAATATTTGGGACGTACTTACATTAAAGAATTGTTTATTGCTTATTTGAAATTCACAGTTACTAGGCATCCTGTATTTTACCTGGCAACTTTAGCTTTCTTTCTGTGCCCCTATGCGTCCTTCTTCCATCTGACAAAAAGCTACAGGTACATGGACTTCTCTTCCTAGTTCAGGGGTTGGGGTGGGACTCTAGGGAATTCTTAACACGGAAGCTTACCACTGATTGTATAAAATGGAGTCTGCATGTATCCTAGCTGAAAATTTAAGTGAGAAATAAGCTTGGTCGGTGGCCAGCAAATGAGTGGGCTCTTTTGGATCAGAGTCTTATCTGACAGAAAGAACTGTGGTTGGGTGGACATAAGTGGTACAAATAGGAACACCTATCTAAGCTCTTTTACCCTTCCCTGTAAAGTCCTTGGAAAGCGCATGCGGTCTATGTGGTAGACTTTTTATCTACCATTTTTTCTATACTTACTCTGTTTTACTTATCCTATTCTTTTTCCTCAGATATTCATATAGCTAACTCCTAACCTTTGAGTCTTCTTTTTTGGTCTTTCTGAGACAGGTTCTCACTATGCAGTTCAGGCTGGCCTTGAGCTCACTTTGTAGCCCAGGCTGGTCTTGAACTCACAACGATCCTCCTGCCTCAGTCTCCCGAGTGCTGGGATTACAGACGTGCGCCACCATGCCCAGCCCCTTTGAGTCTCCTTATCTGCTACTTTCTCCCCTGTCCACCTATTTAAAATTGCAATCCAGTCTCCTTTATCTTCTTCTTTTTAAATGCACCTTCTAACATATTACACAATTTCTAGTTTGTTATATCTTTTTCTTGTCATCTCTCCCATGAAGCCAGTTTTTTAAAAAATTTTGCTGCTGTACATATTCCAAGCACCTAGAACATAGTAGTTAGTCAATAAATATTTGTTGAGTGGGGGAAAAAAAGAGAAAAGCCCAAGCCTCTTGCAGCTTTTCAACCTTGGTGGGAATGTCAAATAACTACATCAAATAAGTTGTTTTTGTTGGGTAACCAAGGAGTTATTTGGTTTTAGGAATTCACTCACATTATCCAAATGACAATTTGTTACTTTCTGTAGAGAAATACGAGTCACCAAGATGCCTAGTATAGCTGGTCAGGGCTTTTGTCCCCCTAGAGATAAGTTGACTTGGAGAAGACTGCTTGTGAGTTTAGTGTTAAACTGATTTTAATGGGTACACTCTTCATCACTAAAGATATACCTAGTATGCAGATACATGAACAGTATGTTAATGTTATGTTGAACTTCAAAGAGAGAATTTAGGCCCGTCACCAACATATAGTACTTAAAAACTTGAGAGCTCAATTCTGAAGATAGTTGATATTATTTCTTATTAAAGAATAACGCTTTCTTACCATGTCCACCAGAAAAAGCATGCCTTTTGCATTTTCCCAGCGCACTGAATGTGGGAAAAGTGCCTCAGTTTATTGTTTCTTTTCCTTGCAAACGGCATGATGTATATACATTGCAGGTCTTTCCTCTTGAGGTATTTCTTGGGCTCCCCAGCCCAGAGAAAAGTTTATTCTCATGGAAGAAGAAAGCATTTTTAGGATATTGTGCTTGACAAGACACTAACTTCCTGCTTGCATTCCACTTCATAAGGTCACTTTGAATTTGCAAGAAATACATTCATCTAATAGACTTTCTCTGGTTGGTGGGGCAGAGTAACAAGGCCAGGAGCTTCTGAAGAGTCAGACAACATCTGAACTTTCTGATTTGGTTTTCAATGAAGAAATCACATTGTTTTGCCATTACTTTCATCCTCAGAGTAGGTATGTCCTATTCCTTATGGTACTCTATTGTTTGTTTCACAGATCCATTGTTTATTGTGTCAAGTGAGAAAGACCACAGACAGGCAAACATCCAAGCCACCCTGGTTCGAAGTAGACTGGTACGTCTAATCGTCTACCAAGGTAGCCTAGTGACTCAGAACCATCTAGTACGGCTCACTGCCTTACTCAGATTGGCTAATCACCATCTCTCCACTGGATTTTCGGTTCCACAGAGAGAACTTTCTGTGATTACTACAGTGCAAAACATCTTATGGCTCACTGTGAGGATTAATTAATAGTGAATCAAACACCCACAAACTAATTTATTATTTATTCAGTGGAAACGATATTATGTCTTTGTTGAGAGAATGTAAATAATACAAAAGCATAAACAGTGTGAAATTATTTCAGCCCTAGTCCCTGCCATATGAATAGCCATTGCCACCAGCTTCTTGGGCTTTCTTTTAGAGATATTCTATGCATATACCAATAACTCCTGTGCAATACACTTGTGTGTCTGTTTGAAAAAAAGATTTGCAATATAATTTAAGTGCTTTGGAAAATCTGATGGTATAATTTTGTCCTTTTCCTCCCTTTCCTGCCTCTCGTAACATTAGAGAAAGGTTCCCAGGTTCACCACTATGTTCAGTAACCTGGTACATTATCCAAGATACTCTCTGTACTGGAGCAGGGCGGATCCGGTCCCACCCTTCATCAGCCGGGAATGGAAGGGACATGCGGAGAAACAGAAGGAAGCCCTCCAGCAGCTGGCCTCGTGAGTGTCGGTGCTCCAGCTCCTAACAACACTCCTGCCTTTAATGAACGAGTTTTCGTTCTTTTAAATTTTTTATTTTACTCTGCATGACTTGAAAATGTACAGTTGTGATGTTATGCCAAGGTCAAGTTCTCTCTAAATCATTTTTTTCATAGCAAACCTGATTAAGGAGTAAAGGTTATACATTTGTTGGCTGGTAGAAGTTCTCAGAAGGTTAATGTGATTCTCTCTATCATCTATATACTTCTATCTATGTAGATACTACATACTCTAAAAACATGTACTATAAAATATACTGTATATATACCATATATTATAAATATAATATATATTTTATATATAATGTAAATATATAATATATTTTATATATAATATAAATATATAATATATACCACATAGTATAAAACTTTAGTGCTCAAGTTTTTAAATAGAAATACTATTTCTATTAGTATGCATTTGTGATACATAATAATTACATTCATCCTGGGGAATTGGAACACATACATACACATTGCATCTTGGTAATTTTTACTCCCCCTTCCCAGACCTCTTTGGATGCCTGAATTTGTATTTGCCACCGATGACAGAGATGACTGAGTTTGTTGTTCTTTTATCCACCTTAGAAATCACAATTGCTCCTTTCTGTGAGTGTCAAAAATATTCTTTGGACACTTCAGCCAGAGTACCTTCAAAAATAAGTCTTTTGAAATGTTTGTTTTAATTACTTGTGACTTCATATTTAGTAAATTAACAAATAATAATGTCTTCCAGCCTGGATATAAAAATTATCTTTTGAAACTTTATTATTGTCATGTGCTTTTAATTAAAAGTAGGCATTTTTGTATGTGGAGTTTCATAAATCTACTGTCTCACTTCTCTCTTTCCCTTACTATGGTAAGTCCTGATGTCTTGGGTCAGAGGAAGTAGTCCTTGCTTGTCTAAGGTGCAGGCCAGTTTGAGTATTAAACTTTTTATGGTATAAAAAACTTCGCTCTCAGTATGAGGAGCTCTGTGTGTCTCCTACTACATATGTATAGAAATGTTAAGTAGAAATCATATGTGAAATAACAGGCTTGAATAATGTTTTCCTGCTTTGTTTTAGAACTGACACTTCCTTCCAGATGCCTGAAGAAATTGTTGAGGATCCTGACGTCACTGGAAAGAATCGCTGTAAATACTTTGACAGGTAATGACGAATGAGCATTTAAGTGCTGATATTGTTTGATAAAAGACCTCTGTAATAATGATGGCAGCTGTCATTTTTGAGTGCATGTAGTATTCCATTTCCATTTTAAGTGTTCTACATGTATGCAGTCTATTCTGCACAATAGACATGTTGGAGAGGATGTATATTATTACCATTTTACCAATAAAGAAGCTGAAACTAGAGGGAAAGTAGATTGCTAAAAGTCATATAAGTTAGCCAGTGGCAGAGCTAGGATTCCAATGAAGCCTGCTTTGATTTTAGAGGCACTGATTGAAGCTAAGAATGTATATTTGATAACAAAACAAGGTCATCAGATAAAGTGACACATAGCAGAGATATCACAAAGCCATAGTGCAGGGAAAATTATTAAAAACTATTCAAATGGGCAACATTTGCTCACTTTTCATGAATGTTACCAAAACCAATACATCAAAAGATTCACTTCATTTCATCTGTGATTAATACACATGTGGTAATCATATACCCAAATCAAATTAAAGTAGGCTGAGATTTCTTTTTTCCTGTGGGTTTTACTTGGGTTAGAAAAATAGTTTTGGTACCACATCCATGTAAGCTTCCTTGAGAAAGTAACTTTCTAATCCACATTATTATTTATGAGTAACCTCCTTATGGAATTTTTTTGATGCTGACTTTTTCAGAGAACTGTTAAATTCTTAACCAAAGTATATTCAATTCCTAAATTTTGGGAGGGAGGCTTTAAACTAAACTTTGGGAATTTCAAACTGTCTCAGGGAACTTGAGATGGTGCTGGGGACTAACGGCCTGCTGAAGCCTCTTAAGAGCACTTTCTGAAAGTGTGGCTGGCTCGCCCTCTGCAGAGAAGGTGCCGGTGTGCTTATGGAGAATGCAGATTCATTTTCTGTACCTTGCATCTTCTCAGTCTCCTGGGCCAGGCCTAGAAATTTGCATTTTAAGCAAGAACCTCCACCAGTGGTTTTGTATACACAGAAGTCGGGGTATTATCCATGTACAGAATATTCAAGTTCATTGATTTTAATGAGTAAACATTAAATGTAGAAGGAAGCTTAGCGTATACCCAGTGCAAAAATCCCATACACTTATGTTTTCTTTTCTCCCAGGCCTTTCCTCCCATTTGTTCAACAGATGCCACTCAACATTCTTTTTGCAGCAACCAAGTAAGTGCTTATTGTTTCAAAAATCTTTTTCAGTTCATTGTTGGCTTTCAGAAGATAGTTCTCCAAATCCGTATTTTAAACTGTGGATCACAAAGCATGAGAAGGTAAACAAGAACCTGCCCTCTCCCTTCGCTCATACATTAAAGTTTGAGTATTAATAATTCACAGGATATTCATCTATCTTATTATGAGTTATTTTAGTCTGTTTGTGCTGCTATAGCAAGATAATCAGTATTTTATTCCTCACAGTTCCAGGGGCTAGGAAGTCCTATATCAACGCATCAGGACTTGGCATCTGGTGAGGGCTTCTTGCTGTGTCCTCACCTGGCTAAAGGGGTGAATGTTATGTTCTCACATGGTAGAAGGAAGAAGGGCAAGAAGGGGCCTACTGGTTACCTCCAGATCTCTTACAAAGCATGAATCCATCCATGAGGGCTCATCACTCCCCATGGAGACCCCACTAAAATGGGCTCTAAGCTTCCACATGAATTTTGAAGGGGACATACATTCAGACTATAGCAGCTGTGGGTAAGGAAAAAAAGTTGGGAAATGCTTTAAATGGCCTCTTTCCTTCCCTGAAACACACTCTTATTTGATGTTAATTCTCCAGTATTTTATTGGACTCATGGACTGTTCTGGGGGATGTTAGATTTTTACGATCTAATAGTCATCTGACTCACACAAGGCCTCGTGGTACACAGAGATGAATGAAGGGTGGTTTATACCACACAAAGGAGCAAAGAGCAGTGAGAGGGAAGAGCAGTGCTAGGGCTGATCTGGGGCAACTGTCTTTAATTTCAGGGTAGCACAGCAGGCTAGATAGAGTACAGGTATTTCTTTACAAATCTAGTTTTTGCTGTACTCTTTGTGTTAATATAACTTGATATTGTGCTTCTATAGGAGAAAAAAATCCAGTGGCTTCATGGAATGATGAAGAAAAGAAGCCTGTTTTAAAGGTCTCAAGTTCTGCATAGAAATGTATTTAGGGCTGGGTTTCAAGCATACATTTAAAAGAAACTGTTATTCCTAACCATATATAACACCATGTGAATAGGACATATGTTATTGAATGTCTGTAACCCTCAAAATAAATGCCAATTATGATTCTACTTCTTCCATGAATTTTTAAGACTGTGAGATGGAGAACAGATTCCCTGCTCTCCCCAGACGGAGCAGCTCTGTAAGGTGCCAGTTTGCTAGGGGCAGCTGCAGGCTTGTATTCTAGAAATGCTTTGTGTGAGCCGAGGGAGCTGTGAGATAGGCACCTCCTCGTAGATCCCTCTCTCCATTTGTTAAAAGCAGGCTCTGTGGTCTCGAACACTGAAGGTCACAGATGCCTCCTGTCCAAACTTGGTCGCACTAATGACAGAGAGCTCAAGGCCTATGTGATTAACACCTTCACTGCTCCACCTCCTTCCTAAGCAATGGGACATAAGGGATAAAGACTTTCTCCAAGAGTTAAACCAAATGGCATTTGGCATCCTAGATAGTCTCTGTCTCTCTTAGAAGTTTTTAAAGAATGGATCAGTGTTTTTGAGTGACATCAAAACTAGAGTTCTGGCAGGTTGAGTTTCTGAGCTGCAAGGAAACCCCAGCTTGTGTTAGCAGGGGAGGACGGTTAGGGGAGCAGCGGGCCTCCTCGACCCACACCCTCTTCGTGGCTAGTGTGTCTGCACTCTGTGTAAACATCTTGGCATTGAGAATAAGAAGTTAATACTTAAAAACATGCAGTGGATTTGTAATAACAGGATATGATTTTCTAGGTCTGGGAAGCAGGGAAAATCGAGAAAGACAATGGGTCTAGTGCATGTGGGGGTGAGGATGGACTCTTGGTGCCTGGGCTGCACAGGGAGAGGGACTAGAGCTGCCAGGGCTGCAGGGAGGACTCCGTAGCCAGAGCGTGTGATCTAAAGAGTGACACAGCTGTGACACAGCGGGGGGTCAAGCCAAAGCCCACATCCCAGCAGATGTGGTATTTTGCGTCCCAATCAAACTAGGGGAGGAGGTGAAGAGGGAATCGTTGCTCTTCCATGTAATTTTGGTGATATAAAGCTGATTTGAAGTTATTTTCTAAACTAGCATTTTGTTTGTTTGTTTGTCGTAGTTTTGGGGATTGAACCCAGTGCCTTTGTGCCAAGCTACATCCCAACCCCACCCCCTTCATTTTGGACATGGTCTTGCAAAATCACTAAGTTGTCCAGACTGAGCTCCAACTTGTGAACTTTCTGCCTCAGTCTCCCTGAATGTTGAGATTACAGGTGTGCATCACTACACCTGGTTTCAAATAAAATTTTATGGTAAAATTATTTCACTTGAAAACATAGGAACCTATACATACCTATATTGCCTACATGTATTAGAAATTCATAGCACCTGCCTGAAAAGGGATTTCAACACCAGTGAGAGTTTAACATTAAAAAAACTATTCAAAGTGCTTTTTCCATCACAGGTTGAACCTCCAAAGAAGTACTTCCTTCTAACTGCCTTGAAGTGTGTTTTTCTTAGAGTTAAACTGTTGAATGTGCTGTGCTCATAAATAAGCACCTCCCCTTGCCTTATTTTTCAAAATGGAAATATATCTTTCTTTATGCCTCTATCCTTTTCCTCCTGGCACTGGGGATCCGGCCCAAGGCCAGACAAATGCTCTACCACTGAGCGGTACCTGCAGCCCCCTGCTCTTACCTTTAGCTATTTATTACCTATGGAATTAAGCCAGGTCTTCTACCAACTAGTAAAAAAAAAACAATTTTTTTTTTTTTTTT